ATATAGCTCTGGTTCTTCCCGAAATGCGTTGAGGCGCAGTAGTTGACTGGACATCTAGGGGTAAAGCACTGTTTCGGTGCGGGCCGCGAGAGCGGTACCAAATCGAGGCAAACTCTGAATACTAGATATGACCTCATAATAACAGGGGTCAAGGTCGGCCAGTGAGACGGTGGGGGATAAGCTTTATCGTCGAGAGGGAAACAACCCGGATCACCAACTAAGGCCCCTAAATGATCGCTCAGTGATAAAGGAGGTGGAGGTGCAGAGACCACCAGGAGGTTTGCCTAGAAGCAGCTACCCTTCAAAGAGTGCGTAATAGCTCACTGATCGAGTGCCCTTGCGCCGAAGATGAACGGGGCTAAGCGATCTGCCGAAGCTGTGGGATGTAGAAATACTCGGTAGGGGAGCGTTCCGCCTTAGAGGGAAGCCGCTCGCATATATATATTCACCTACAAAAAAATTTGTTACGGACAAGCTAAATTGATAATGTTAATTCGATCGTGGTATTCACTTATACGTGTTATTATTTTTACGGTGGTGTCATTATTTTTTAACATAATCATTAATAATTAATTATCTTCTCAAAAGTTCAATGCTATAATAACTAAAATTTTATTTCTATATTCATTGATTATTAATATTTTGTTCGGTTCTATTTTTTTTTTTTTCTTTTAGTGAAAGATATACTAGTCATCTTTTGTGGTACTAAAATGACTACTTGTCTATTTCCAAACACGTTTTTAGGAGTCGTAGACTGCTATTATCCTATACCCTAAAAAATGTACGAATATTTCTTTATGGTAAACAACAATAAATACGTAAATCATTTACCTGAGGATGCTGTAACGTCGGTGTAACGACCCCAGCCTGTCGTGGAGGATCAACTCGGCCAAGTCGTTTAGTTGGACGTGGTTGTGGCTGTGGCTGTGGCTGTGGTTGTGGCTGCTCAGCTACAGCAAAGTCTGAGTCATAGGCCTCCTCGTCAGTAGCATAGCCCTGCTCGTCATCATTATAAGCCTGCTCGTCATCATCATCATCATCATCTTGCGGACTCCTAACTGACGACTCGTAAGTGGAGCTCCGCTGCTGAACAATATGTAAAGTCTCGAGACGTCCAAAACTGCTAGGGATCAGTGACACAGACTGCTGATCACTCTGCATCAGACGGAAGCGTCCCGAACTGTCAGACATGAGTGGCCCGGACTGCTGACCACACTGTATCGGATCAACGAGAGGTCTCGAACTGCCAGCCTGGGCAGTCTGTACCCGGCGAGCCTCACGGAGCCTCTCATCCCTCTCCCGCCGAGCGGAAGCATTCACATTACGACTTACGTGTGTCGGGCTCCAGAACCATCCAAGTCGGTAAGATACTCATCAGCCTAAATCCAAAATTTAAAACTAATAATTAGTAAGCAAAACTTTTTAAAATCATTTATTTTAAAAACTTAAATTAGACTACTTATTACAATTTTATTAAAATATATTAGTATAAAATATATATTAATTTATTAATCTAATTAATTTATGTTATTAATATATTTTAATTATTAATATATACATAATTTTATATATTTATTTCTTATTTTATTGTTATTAATATATACAATAATATATATGAAATTATA